TTCCTCTTGCAGCCACGCGAGGCCATGACGAATCACGCCGGCCTGAAGCCTTGCTACTCGCTCCGACTCGCTCCAAGACTTTTGCTTGAGCCAATGCTGATATAGCACTGCCAGTGCTGCTACAGCACAGCCAAACTTTGCAAACCATGATCGCTTACGCATGACTCTGCGCAATAGCTCTGACGACGGCTCTGTGCAATGACTCTCACGATGACTCTGTGCAATGACTCTCATGGTGACGCTGTGCAATGACTCTCATGATGACTCTGTGCAATGACGCTTTGTGCAGGTTGCTCTGCGCAGTGACTCTCATGATGACGCTGCGCAATGACTCTCATGACGACTCTGTGCAATGACGCTTTGTGCAGTCGCTCTGTGCAAGTTGCCCTGCGCAAATGCTCTGTGCAATTTGTCCCGCGCAAGTTGCTCTACGCAAGTGCTGCCAGAGCTGCCGGAATGTACTTCGCGTGCCGCCTTTGTACTTTAAAGTTGCAATTTTGCAGCCGGAGCTGTGCTCCACATACTACGTTTGTATTTAAAAGTTGCGATTTTGCAGCCGGAGCTGCGGGAGTGTACTCCGCGTGCTACGTTTGTACTTGCAAGTTGCGATTTTTGAGCCGGAGCTGCGGGAATGCAATCCGCGTGCTACGTTTGTATTTGGAAGTTGCGAGTTTTGAGCCGGAGCCGCGGGAGTGTACTCCGCGTACTACGCTTGTACTTAAAAGCTACGATTTTCCAGCCGGAGCTGCGGGAGTGTCCTCCGCGTACTACGTTTGCACTTAAAAGTTGCGATTTCTCTCTTGAAAAGCTGTCGCGGACCACGCGGGGATCGAACCCGCGACAGTTCGCAAGCAACAAATCCCCCCCCCCCCGCAAGGATTCGTCGGGCACTTTGCAAATTCGCACGGCGCCGCAGCGAGACCACTTCGACCACGCCGATCTCCGCAAAGGGTTGCGCGGGAACCGCGAAAATCGTAAAAAGTCCTCAGTTTTTTAACATCGACCACGCCGATCTCCGCAGAGGGTCGCGTGCACAGATCAGAAATCGTAAAAAGTCCTCATTTGTTTTACCTCGACCACACGAATCTCCGCAGAGGGTTGATTTTCGTAGAGTGCTGTCGGCCCTACCACGCCGCCCTGAGAAAAGAAGAAAGGAGCTTAAAACTCCTCTCATTGAGAACTGTCATGAGCATTGCTCCTCGCCAGTGAGTCTCACGGGCATTGCTCCTCGCAAGTGGCACGCACGAGGAGCAATGCTCCTCGCCAGCGACTCTCACGAGCATTGCTCCTCGCAAGTGTTGCTCCTCGCCAGTGACTCTCACGAGCATTGCTCCTCGCAAGTGACTCTGATGAGCATTGCTCCTCGCAAGTGACTCTCACGAGCATTGCTCCTCGCAAGTGTTGCTCCTCGCCAGTGACTCTCACGAGCATTGCTCCTCGCAAGTGAGTCTCATGAGCATTGCTTCTCGCCAGTGACTCTCACGAGCATTGCACCTCGCAAGTGACTCTCATGACGAAACTGTGCAATGACTCTGCGGAATGAATCTGTGCAATGACTCTGTTGATGATAACTCTTTGCAATGACTCTCATGATGATAACTCCCATGAATCCAACGGAAGAACCCCCCGCCATGCTTTCGGGAAAAAAACATGACCCATCCCGAGCTGGCTGGGGTTCCACGTGGCTTTTTTCTTGCGGCCGAAGCCGCGGGGCGGCGGCGCCAGTGCTTCATGTCCGTGTCGCTGGCGCGTCTGGCCGCCAACGGGAAGTTCCCGCTCTCCGGGGTGAGGCGCGTGGGCAACGTCTCCTTGGTCGAGATCGGTGACCTTTTGGTGAGAACTCCCATGGGTTTGCTCGCGGAAGACTTCCAATCTGAACCGGTGGAACCCATCTATTTCTAAGCAAACCAACCCAAAAAGGACACCTATGGTCATAATCCGCTGGTTTCGGGTTTTTTGCGTTTTGCGGTGTCACGCGGCACAGTGTTGGTGGCGTCCCTCATGTTGCGGTGTGGCTTCGCTGCATGCGGTGAAAAAGGCCAGGCAGGCGTTCTTTCCTGGCTTTATGCGCAATAGTCGCCTTCAGCTGGCTCAACATTTCTTCTTTCATGACCTTCATGTGTGGAAGATACCAAGGCATTGAAGAGGGGCGATCTGCTTCAATAGCCCTGATCGGTGTCCCTTTTGGTGTCCCTCAAAACTGCGCCTCCACGAACACAAACATGGAAGCTGGCAGGCAGTGTTGTGAAGAACGTGTTCGGGCATCCACTCAACTTCCTTGTTCGTGGAGGGTACATTCCCACCCAAAAAGCAAGTGCCGCTTGAGGGGAAACACCCTTCAACGTGAGGCTGCAAGAGTTCGCCAAAAGGAAGAGGCAAGGACCATCCAAGTTCTAGCTGGTGCAAACAGATAACGCTCGCAACCTGCCTTCTTTGTTGGCAAACCTGAGCCAAGCACAGCACGACAAGAGCTATCAAGGACGAAATGAAGTGCGCCAAGGCAAATAAATTGAAACTAGGGTTCGAAGTGCTGCATGAATCTCATGCAATTTGAGGGGGGTTGTGGAAAGCGGGCTTCCCGCTTCCAATGACCGGCCTTTGGATCGTTGAGTCTTCTCTTTCTTTTCTTTTTTTCTTGCGGAGCTCGGACCCCCAAAATCACGGTTCTCCTTCTGCCCCCAAGCCATAGTAGGTGTCCGTTTTGGGAAATTTGATGGCCCTGGTAGTTGATTGAACCACCAGGTAAACCATGAATCAACCAAAAAGGACACCTATGCCCCCTACGCCCCAAATCGCGAGTCGGTACCAAACTCGAGGGGCGAAGACGTTGAGGAGGTCCGCCGCCTCCATCCAGAGCGCCACTGACGCCTTCAAGGAGCTCCTCCCGGAGCTGGACCAAGTCACTGCCTCGCTGGCCGCCAGCCGGTCCACCACGTCCAGGGCCTTGGTCTTCAGGGATGCCATGCCGCTGGAGGCGAGCACCTGACCCGAAAACGAAACGAAACCGGAAGGACATGGCAACTCAAAATGTTTGGAGGCGAAAACAGTTGGACATGGCTTCCTTGACATCCCGGACCGATTTCACCCCCTGGCGACCGGCAAATGTCCGTTGCTCGTTGAATGAAAACGAGGGTGGCATTTCAGCGGCTTAAATCACTGGCCACACGTCGCCTGGTCGGCGACATCGTGGGTTCGCCCGCCCACAGCCGCGCACTTCTGCTGGTCGCCGAAGGGCGCCAGCACGTGAGACGCTGCGCCGGAGGCCACCGGCTGGCAAAAGGCCACGGGGCCGCAGACCTCGTGCTCCACGTCGTAGAAGCAGCGGAACGCGCACTTGCTGTCCTCAGGGGTGCCGAAACCTGAGAACGTTTGGGCGAGAGCAAACCAGAACCACATTTGGGAGCCATGCTTTGGGGCACCGCTGCTCGAAACCGGGTGCTTTCGCCAAGGCTTGCCTTGCCCATGCAGGAGGCCTCCCCCAACATGGCGTCTATGAGGGCCATCAACTCCCGGTCAGGTCGGGCTAGAACGGTTGCCGCCTGACCCGGCACTTGGAGCGACATCTGCTCATGCCTTGGAGTGTGCATCATTATGTCGTCCGCATCAACAGACTTCTGGACACCTTTCTCGTTCAAGTAGTAGAACTTTGCCTTTTCCTCGGTTTTCTCCTTGGGGGCCTGATAGGCTCTGAGCCCTGCATTGGGCCCCAGAAAGGTATCTTTTGTCATGCCCACCCATGCGTTGAGCTCGGTGCGGAGGAACAGGGACTTCTTCCTTCCATGTTGCTCAAGTCGCCTGAAAAAGTAACATATTTTGTTAGATGTTTGTGCATGACACACACCCCCGTGTGGACTGTGTATAGGTTGCATATGAACTCATTTGTGAGCCCAATATCCAGTTGACGGATTTGTAAAGTCAATCCCGTTGAATTGGTTGAAACTGCGTTTCATGGCAATGACCATGTTGGTATTCATTGGCTCAAGGAGAAAAGCTGCGCTTTAAGATGGTAGCGGAGCTTCCTGAAAGACCCGGGGAGCTTGCGTGCGCTTGTGGAGCCATGGTTTCAATATGTGCAATGTGTGTGGCCATATCGGTCCTCGCATATCATGTTGGTGGGTATGAATTCGATAGCCCTTCGCGGGCTTGGGCCAAGAATCACGAGGATGGGGACCTCACTCAGCTGAGCGGATCGGTGCCGTTTGACTTGTCATACAATTGGCCTTGTGATTGCGGATATGGTGCCGTGATCGAATGGAGCGCTCATTTGGGCGCTGGTGGAACCAACATGACCGGGTGCTTTGCAATTTCAGTTTTGCATTGCTTGTGGTACGTGGCTCAGAGCGGCGCATACAATTTTCGGTCAGATGGCAGCTTGACATGTGGTGTGTTCAATTTCATTTGGAGCTTGATGTGCAACCTTGGTGGTTCTGTGTATAGTCAGTCAATGCTTTGCAGGTTTTTGGATGATCAGCACACGCACCACAACAACACTTGTGGAACCTGTAGCCAATCCATGGAATCTTTCTTGGGGACCCATGTGGATTTCCCTTGCAACATTGATGGCGCAGGAGAGTTTCACGGCTTGCTACCCTTTTGGCAGGCCCACTGCACGCAGACCGGGTACGCGTATTTCGATGAGCTGCCCGGGTATTCAGGTTTCTGGCTTCTGGCGATGATTTTCATGTGTATTTTTGCTTGGAAAAGTATGCCAACGTGGATATCGGTCGGATTTCTTATTCCAGCCCAATGCGCAATGATGGGCGATTTGCTTTCCATTTATGATGTGCGAAATTTCAGGATCATGTGGCAGATGCTTCGTGAGCATTCGCATGTGCAGGTCATGGTGATTTCTGCTTGCGTCGTCTTCGTGCTCTTCAGGCGGTGGAAGTGTTCGTGCAGGAACCGGAGGAGGTTGTCTCGGACTCAAGTGCGTTTCAGGGGCAGATGGAAATGTCAGTTGAAGTTGCTTTGCGTGATGACCATGGTGCATTTTGGACACTGCATGGATGCACAGGTGGTGGACAGGCTGTCGGAAATAGCCCAGGCTTCCACTGCAGCAGCAAGAGCCGCAGTCGCGGCAGTTGAGCGCATGAGTGGTGGAAGCCAGTCAAGTACACCAGGGGTGACAGATGTTTTCAAGAGTTTGGAGACAGCGACAAAGGTGCTCAGGTCGCCCCCTGTTTTCACTGGTGAAGATTCAGTTGCATTCATTGGTTGGAAGCATCAGTTTCTGAACTGGCTAGGCTTCGCAGACCCGCAGTTCATTGAAGCCTTGAATCACGCTGAAGGCATGGCTGTGGACCCGGACATGGCAAGAGAGTCTGAAGCTGGCCAGGTTTTGAGCAAGAAATTGTACACAGTGTTGACGTCATATCTTAAAGGAGCCCCGTTGCAGCTCTCTCGTGCAAATCAGAACAGTCAGAATGGTCTCGCTCTTTGGAGACAGTTGTGCAATCAGTACCAACCTCACACCCGGCAACGAGCGATGGGTTTGATGCAGGCGTTGATGAATTACCCTTCATTTTCCAATGCTAAGCCGGTGCTGGATCAGGTATTGCGCCTTGAGGAACTAGCTCAGGAATACCGCATTGCTTCAGGAAATGCATATTCAGATGATTTGCTCATTAGCACTTTGCTTCGATGTTGTCAACCTGAGGTTCGGCGACACCTTCAGCTCACTATGAATGGTGGGACCACATATGCAGAGATTCGCGAGTCGGTTTTGCTTTTTGAGCGTACATGTCAGACCTGGGACCCAAACACGATTTTGCAACAGTTCGGGAACCGGGACAGACTCGCTGGTGGAAATCAGAATGCCAACGATGGCCCCACACCAATGGAGGTGGATCGCGTTGGATATGGAGATGGACAAAAGGGCAAAGGCAAGTGGAACAACAAAGGAGGAAAAGGAAAAGGAAGCAAAGGAGGAAAAGGGTCGCCTTGGTGGCTCTCAGGAGGTGCCGGAGCAGGAAAAGGCAATTGGCAACAAAAAGGCGGCAAGGGCAAAGGAAAAGGAAAATGGAGCAAGGGTGAGAAAGGCTCGAAAGGCTACAAAGGGGGAAAATCAAAATCGAAGAATAAGTCTAAGGACTCTTGCCGGATTTGCGGGCAGTATGGACATTGGGGAAATGAGTGCCCCAGAAGAGTTCAAAACGTGCAAGAAGAGCCTGGTTATGAACAACCTCAACAAGCGCTGCAGGCATCGCAACAGTTGGCTTTGACCTCTGCAGCGACAGCATATAGGACCCCACCAAATCCCAATGCTAAGCAGGTGGTCAGACAGGTGCGCGTCTTCAACATTGGGACACCGCCTCAAACTGTAGAAGAAGATTGGGAACCGGTTGAGGATGAGTTTGATGTTTTTGCACGTGGTTCTTGCTGCATGGTGATGGAGACTGCAGATGAGATTGCTTTGCATTCAGATCCGGATATCCTGGTGGTTTTGGATTCAGGTTCAGATGTCAGCCTTTTACCTTTTGAGTACAGTGCAGCAGGCCAGTGGGCACGTTCGCGAAATGTCATTCTTGAAGATGCCCAAGGAGGAAAACTGGAGACTCGAGGCACGCGTAGAGCTCGGGTCACTGTGAAGGCTCTTGATGGCAGCGATGTGTCGATTGAGGATACTTTTATTTTGGCAAATGTGCAGAATGTATTGATTTCATTTGGCAGACTGTTGAGAAAGCAATGGCGTCTGGTGGAGCAGCATGGTGTGGAGAGCGGTCTTGCACTGGAGGCGCCGGATGGTTCATGCCGTACAGCAGTCGTTTTCAGACGCAATTCTTTAGCTATTCGTGGCCAGATATGCAGAGTGACACATGCTACAGTTGCAACGATTGTTGCAGCCCCTCAGGAAGCAGTGTCGGCAGAGCATGGTCGTTGGTATACAACTTCAGATGGAACCCCGTACTGCAAATCCACCGGTCACTGTTTTGTGGATGCGTCTGAGCATTGGTCTCAATATTGGCCTTACAGAACAACTCTTGTTCGTTCGCATGCGACAAGGGACAGGCGACTTAACTCGTGGACACTCGTGGCGCTCTCAGAGTTGTATGTTGACCTGGATGACAAAACGGCAGAAATTGCAGACTGTGCAGGCATTGACCATGAAGTTCTGACATTCATGCATGTGGTACCTTCAGGTGTGAGTGCGATAGGACGTTTGCGCGATGGTGGTGAAACAGATGTGTTGCCAGGTTACAGATCAGACAGACCGTCTGACGAGCAGATGCAAGGGCAACCTCAGCAACCTCGCGCAATGGGCCTGGATCAGCCAGAGGCTCAGCCGGTTGGAGCTATGCCTGACAGCAAAGATGAGCGTGGTGAGCTTGATCTGTTTGGCGGAGAAGCGCCAGTTCCTGCAGAGCTGGCAGACGCGCGCGGACCTGTTGAACGCGCAGTGGCAGGCGATCCCAATAGCTTGAATGTTGGTGGCAGGATTGTGTCCCTGGGGAGCAGCTTGAGTGATTTGAGACAGGCCGCGGTTTTCCTGGGGTTATCAAAGTCTGGGACAAAACAGCAGATTTGGGAACGCTTGAAGTTTGAGAGCCAGCAGATCTTGAGGCGAGAGCAGTTTGAAGTGGCGAACCAACTGTACCGTGAGATGCAGGAGACGCATGTGCAGGCGCAGGAGGCCCCTCGCAGGCAGCCGTCAGACGCAGACAGAGCGCAGCACGAGCTCACTCACATTCCTTTTGCTGATTGGTGTGATCATTGCATCAGCTGCAAGTCAAGGAATGACCATGCGAGGGCTCGACCTCAAGAAGAAGTACTGCGCGAATACCCTATTGTTCAATGCGATTTCATGTTTTGCAGGACGAATGAAAGTGAGAAAGCTCTCACTGTGTTGGTGGGAGTAGATACATGGACGAGAACAACATTTGCAGTGCCCGTGGAAACAAAAGCTGCTACGAAGCAGCTCACTGAAGCAGTTTTGAGGTTCACATTGGATCTCAATTACTTCGAGAACATTGAACTGGTCATGGATGGAGAGCCGGCCTGCAAAGCCTTACTGGCATCGGTGAAGGCTGCGCGGCAGAGCATGGGTTTTGCGACAATGACACGGGTTACTATGCCGTTTGACAAAGGGCCAACGTCCATGGCTGAGCGCGCTTTGCAATCTGTGAGGCGCCAGGCAGCCACATTGGTTGCGATGCTTAGTTTGAAATGTGAGATTTCCATCAGTCACCAACACCCGATTTATTCTTGGGCAGTTTTGCATGCTTCATGGCTTTTGAATCGGTTTCAGAAGAATTCTGGCTTGGGCGCAACACCGTTTCAGGCAGCAACAGGTAAACCCTATCGAGGGAGACTGGTGTGTTTTGGAGAGTACATCTTTGTGATGAAGCGCCAGCCGGATCAACTGAAAGGAGCCGCGCAATGGATTGGAGGAGTTTTCCTGGGGAAGAGTTTATCAGATGAATGCATAGTGTGGACAAGCAGTGGAATTTACAGAAGCAAGGCGATGAGACGTACAGGAAGCCCGTGGCGTGGTGAAGCTGTTATTTCGGTGGCAGATTACACTTGGACAAGGCCCGGGCAGACGGCTGTTCGCTTGAAAGGTTTGGTTGGACCTCCAGCCGCAGCGAGTTTACCTTTTGATGGTGGACATGGCACGCTGAGTGATGACCAAAATGCAACTCAAGGTGAGCCAAACACCCCTGACGAGGCTGCGTCGGATCCTCCCAGTCAGACGATGTCTAGAATGCCTTCCTTGACGACAGGGTCTGATGCTTCAATGCCCTCTGGAGGTGTAGCTGATGACACCCCGTTGCAGATCGTTCTTGAAGGTGAAGGACCTCAGATGAGTCCTGAGGATTTGCGCCCAGCAAAGCAGGCACGTGGTGAGCAACAGACAGACACTGGAGCTATGAGCTCAGGCGGGGCTGGGCATGCGACAAGGGCGGTTCATTTTGCAGATTTTGCTGATGAAGTGGACCCAGATGATGGTGCAGAAGTGGAAGATTTTGGTGAGTTTGAGGATGAAGCTGGTGAAGAAGAAAACATGTTTTTCACTGAGGAACCATGCCTGGAGGGTGAGATAAAGCCTACAATGTTTGAGGGGGAGCAACCCCCGGAACTTCCTGATAGCGAGTTGGAGATTTTTGACGATCAGGCAGAGCTCATTGAGGTACAACGCCTCACGCGCATGGGGGCCATCACCGAGGTGAGCGAAGGCCCAGCGGACCTTCCTTTGAGGAAGTTGACCACGAAGTTTGTCAAGACTTGGCGGCATCGTGAGGGAAAATGGTTTCGGCGGGCGCGACTTGTAGCCCGAGAATTCAAAGCAGCAACTCCTTGGATGGGCATGGAAACCACGTTTTCACCGGCAACAGCTATAGGAACATTGCGGCATGTTTTCTTAATGGCCCTTCATTTTGGGCAAAGCATCACCGTTGTGGATGTTAAGGATGCCTATTTGAATGTCCCTCAAGATGAGTCTGAGTGTGTTTATGTGGTTGATGCTCCCATGAGCTATTGTGTGCAAGTTGGATTGGATCAGAAAGTTTGGAGGTGTGCACGCATGATTCCAGGCCAGCGCATTGCAGCGCAAAAGTGGTACAATCATTTGGATGGCTTGGTCAAAGGTGCAGGGATGGAATCTTTTCCAGAGCAGCCCACGCTGTATCGTGGGGGAAGTCATGAGCGTCTTGGCATGGGTTTGCATGTGGATGACTTTGTGTTGACTGGCAGGGACTCGGAGCAGAAACGAGTCTTGTCAGCTGTGCAGAAGAGTGTGACACTTAGCGTTTGCGGGCCTTTTCAGTATGCAGGAGACACGTTTGAGTATTTGAAGCGAAGGTTTTCTTTTGTGGAGGATGGGTTGATCGTCAGGATCAATCCTAAGCATGTGGAGAAGTTGAATGAGTTGTGCCCGCAAAGATACACGAAGAAGCTCCCGTGTGGCCACGACGCGTTGGAAGAAGACACAACACCCGAATTGCTGGGGACCAAAGTCAAGGAGTTCAGGAGCATGGTTGGTATTCTTTTGTATTTGGTCAGTGACAGGCCGGATTTGGCTTTTGTTGTCAGAACACTGAGTTCGAAGATGTCTGTGCCTACAGAAAAGGCATACAAGCTTGCAATTGGAGCAGTTGCCTATTTGAGAGGCACGAGCGAAGTGGGAATCAAGTTCAAGAAGAATTGGCCGGGCAAGATGGTTTTGGACACCAGGAATGACCACCCGAGCGGCCATGCAGGCTATCACGTTGTGGAAGCTATTGCCGATGCGGATTTTGCAGGAGACAAAACAACTAGACGCTCCATAAGTGGTGGTCAGGTGTACATCAATGGAAATGTGTGCCTTGCATATTCGCGGACGCAAAAGAACATCTCTCTTTCCAGTGGCGAATCAGAATACATAGCCCTGAGTGATGTCATCGCTGAGGCGATCTTGATAAAGAAGGCATGGGCGTTTCTTGTGAGGGATTTGAACACCCAGCTTGTGGCGAGAACGGACTCGTCAGCAGGACGAGGCATAGCGTCGCGGCGAGGAGTTGGGAGAGTGCGGCACTTGGATACCAGGTATCTGTGGGTGCAGGAGTTGGTCGTTGGAGGCAAACTGAAATTGCAGCCGATATCGACCTTGTTCAATCCTGCTGATGCAGGAACGAAATCGCTGAGTAGTTCCCGACTTCGGATGCTGTGCGCATTGATGAATATGGTGGATGGAAATGGCGAGATTTTTGGAAAGGAAGAGTTGAACATTGCCCGATCGAGGCATCAGCTTTCAGCAGCCAAGCAACAGCTTGCATTTTTGGTTGCAGCCCTTCAGATCACAGGTAGTCGAGGGGAATCATTTCAGTATGAGAATGTTTCTTCCACTGGAGTGAACAGATGGATGGTTTTCATGTGTGTATGTGTTGGAATTTTCCTTGCAATTTCCTTATTCTGGATTTGGTCGAAGATGGTATGTTTGCAGCAGGATGTGATTTACTTGAGAGGTGAAAGAGATCGTTTGCATGACGCGATCTCCACTTTGATTGAGAACACGGATCAGCTTTGGATAGCTGTGCGGAGGATCACAGGGGAATCTACGCCCCGAGAATCAGATGGTGAAAGTCCTGATGATGACCATGTGGAGCCAGAAGTTTTCTTGAATCACCCTAGCGAGAGTATCGCGCATGATGCAAGCCGAGCTCTCAGGAAAGGGTTCAACACAATGGGACAATATTGGCGATATTTGGCCAATGGCGGCCACTCTGAATCTAGCGAATCAGATGGTGAGAATGAACGCAATGCAGAGCAGAGTGGGAGGATGTACAGACGTGCAGTGAATTCAGAATGTTTGGAACGGCCGGAGTAAAGCCGAGTTGTGCATGTTCAGAAAGTGTGGATTAAGCCTTATAATCGGCTTGATCCAAGGCGGGGTGTTAGATGTTTGTGCATGACACACACACCCGTGTGGACTGTGTATAGGTTGCATATGAACTCATTTGTGAGCCCAATATCCAGTTGACGGATTTGTAAAGTCAATCCCGTTGAATTGGTTAAAACTGCGTTTCATGGCAATGACCATGTTGGTATTCATTGGCTCAAGGAGAAAAGCTGCGCTTTAAGATATTTTCACTAGTGATCGGTTGTCTTTAAAACCAACAGGAGAAAATAAAAAAAACATTCTTAAGCAAATGGAAGCTTCTTGGAGTACTGGCTCTCGCCCCACTGGCGCTTGCTGGCATCGTAGGCCTGCCATCCAATGATTCCCAGCACGGCCATACCCTCGATGTTTTGATTCAGCACCACTGCATCCGGCATGATGCGATACTTGGAATCCATTCCAGTCACCTCCAAATATTTGCTCGGCTCGCGACCGACGCCGTCGGCGAAGCGGAAGCTTATTAAGCCGCTTTTCCACGTCAGCGAGTCACTTAGCTGCGCGTGCTGTAAGCGCTGACAACAGAAGCAAAGAGGAACGTGCTGCAACTCAAGTTCCAAATGTCACAATGAACCATGGCTCGACTAACTCTGAAGAAGCCATGCCGAACGCCACCCCCAGCAGAACTGAAAGACGTCCAAATGCAAAGGCCTTGTGCCAACTGAAGCCCTGATTGCGTTCAAACTGGGCTGCTCGGATAAGCTGCCAAGCGTCGCTTCTCCCCTGGCCCACATGGTGCGCACCCAGAACTCCCCGCTGTCTGTCACCTCCAGACACCGAAGTTCAGGGCGCCCAACTTCCCCGCCCAAATAGCAAGCACCATCGAACGGAGAAACCGCTTAAATGGCCATGAACCACGAATCTGCAGCTGTTGATCCTTCCGAAAACCTGATCACCCACGCCCAACAGGTTTGATTGTTTTGGGAACAAACTATTGGGAGTTGCGGTTCAGGAGGTGGATTCAGATGGGCGGAGACCTTTCCATGATTCTTACTAGGAAACCAAACCACAAAACGTCACCTTTGATTGCCAGCGAACAAGTGTTTGTTCTCAACATATTCAGAGAAAGGCCACCTTTTGTCCAAACCAAAAGGTCGTTCCAACTTTGGCAAACCAAAAGGTCGTTCCAACTTTGCCAGAAGGCTGTGGCTCACAAAATGGTACCCAAAATGGCGCCCTGGTAAATGGAAACAAAGACAAAAACCCAGGGTTTGCCCTAGCTCTTGGATTTTGAGCCACAGACGCCTCCCGTTTTGGGGCCACCCGCGGTCAACCGCGTCCGAGGCGCGGCGTCCCTCCGCGCGTTCTCGGCGTCGGCGGCGCGGAGGCCGCTGCCCACCGCGGCCGCGACGCTCTGGGCCTGGAAGCTGTCGCGCGCCGCCGTCACCTCCCGCATGGCCAGCAGGAAGATCAAGGCCTCACTCAGCTGAACTGGACATAAATGTGGTCACCTAGGTCCAGATTTGAGAGCTTAGAATAAGGGTATATACCAACTTTTTTCTGCAGTCTTTTAGGGGAACCTTCCCCCCAAAAAGTTGGTAAAAGGGGCACTACTGGGGGACCAAGTCACCTTCTGGGACCTTGAAAAGTGGAAGGGAACACCCAAAGGTTGAAAGGATGGCTTGCAACAACTGAGCGAAACGACGATACGAAAGAGAGGATGCCAATGCAAAAGCAGAGGTCATTGCTCCACACTGGCTATGGATCACTCAGCTAAACGCGACTCGCGGTGTCTTTCCAAAGCTCGTCGTTCTTGAATTGGACGGAACCATTTGGAGTCGACCCTTCCATTCAACGCGGATTCGATTTCTACATTTGACCTGCTGGTTCTTGAAAATTCCCCGAACAGAAGAGACTTGCAAAAAAACAAAACGAAAGAGGACCCAACCTCGTATGGAAGAAAGGTTGGAGCTCCTTCAGATTCCTGATGGAAACCGGGGTGAGAACGAACATATTGCTCGCCATTTTGAATTTTGGGCTCCTCTCTCAAAACTAAAGACCCCTCCCGCACACCTGTCCGGTTTGCCGTTCTTGGCTCGAATCCATCGAAACGCAAATAAGGATTGTCGCATATTGTCGCGAACAGCATTTCTGAGAAATGTTCATGCGACTTGTGGCCTACCTGCCCCTCCGCGACTGAACCACACCGAACTGAAATTGGCCAAGAGCGCATATGCTAGCTTCTGGTGCGGCGCGCGCTGGCCCGCCATTGGAATGAAAATGATACTTGATAAACTACGTACTGTTCGAGTTCAGCAACTGCAGAATCACATGCAAGACTGCAAATGCTTGGCCCAGTCATCAAGGCAGTACTTAAGTACCCAATATTCAGCAAGCAACACATGATGGTGCTGTCAATGATCCAGCAACCCAAAACTTCAACACAGACACAGGACCTCGGGAGATAGACATCCGCGGACTATCGGCGGATCGCGACAGCTTCTTTCAGGCTCAAGAAGCAACGCATGTATGTCACGCGTGAGGTAAACATTCTACCAGCGTAGACCCCAAACAGATTCTAAGAACACAATGATGAACTACGCAGGTCAAGCCAACAACACATGTGTCTTCTTGAGGGACCGCCCAAACTTGTTTCTCTGCATGGCAAACAGGTGCCGAGCAGTTCCAGGAAGGCAGCCGAGCCAGCAAACTGCTTACGCAATGACCAGAACGCGCCTACAGTAAATAGAGAGATCACATTAGACATCACAATGCGCATCATTCCAAAACAAAAATCAGCTAACAGTCAAGACTGATTCAAAACTCGCACAAACCACAAACAACGAACCAAGCAAGCAAGCAAGCAAAGCAAAGCAAAGCAAAGCAAAGCAAAGCAAAGCAAAGCAAAGCAAAGCAAAGCAAAGCAAAGCAAGCAAGTAAGCAAAGCAATCAAAACAATCAAACAAAACAAACCATGAATCAACAAAGATACAACCTCAACAAATAGATAGATTGAACAAACACGAAGTTGAACAATGTATCAATCACTCAATCAATCAACCAACCCATCAATCAAGCAACCAACCAAGCAGCCAACCAATCCACTCCAATCCATCAATCCGCCAGTCAGTCAATCAATGAATCACCGAAGCGAAAATTGATGAGACGAGACACAGAACAAGCAATGATCAAACACAAACAGCACCCAAAGTTCCCAAAACATCACAACATCACAACATCACAACCACAACCACAACAACAACAGCAGCAGCATTGGCAGCGGCAGCGGCAGCAGCAGCAGCAGCAGCAGCACCTTCTTTTTCATGCACCAATGCATACTTGATAAACTCGCATGGCTTGCTTCACGTTCATTAAAGAATAGCGCAATCACGTTGTACATAATGAAATAGAGCCTATAGCGCGTTGGATTTCACGCACCATAGTCTATCACTCAACCAGAATCAATCTAGAATCAACACATAAGGCGCCTATGTCGGTCTTCTCTTTTCGACATACCTACTACATAATGTCAACCATTTTGCTGAACGAGTGTCAATAAATACATAGGCATACATCACCTAGTATGCGCTAACCCAATTAAGCTTAACGGATACACCAACACATGTTTGTTTGAATATCTTCCCGTCCTGCAACTTCTCTCATACACACCTACATACTCATACAAAGGCTGATATCAAGACGCACCCAAAACACAACAGGCCACTTACACAATCTCAACTGACCAAACACGAACTGATTATGTCAGGTTCACCCTCCTCCTCTTCGCTTTAGAATCATTGACTTCCCAGCAAGACATCAGTCCAACACCAATCTACAGTCAATGACAAAATCAACTCAGTTTGCACAAAACCTCGTTTCATCAATCTTCAACCTAGGACACAATGCAAAACTCCATTAACTATCAAATTGCCATTCCATCTTTCATCTTTCTATATCGATATTATTTGCAAAAAGCAACATGCCAACGCAATGATTCAATACCTCCGGAATCATGCAATCAATACTACTTGCATATCTGCATTCATATCATCAGCAGCTCGCTTCACTCAAATTCAACGCTCTTTTTGAACCATGTGTCATCTTCGCAGGAGAGCCAGACCTTGCGGCGACATGCTCCGAATGCCGGGCCACTTCTCCGCAAGAGCGCTGTCTTCCAAATGGGGTCTGCGGGAAGCCTAGTTTGGTGGGAAGGCAAGCACGTCAAAGCTTCATTCTGAGCTCCCCTGCTGGCTCCAAACAGACCGCCCAAGAGGTCGGCCCAAATCGCAGCCTGGCAGGCTGAACATCTGTGGGTCAAGACCCACCCAGGAAAGGGTCGTTGGGCGGGTTGTAGCCGGATTCATTTTTGGCTTCTGACCAGACCTGGGTTGCGGGGGTGTCTCATTCAGTGTTTGTGGTGTGCACAATAAAGAAAAAATAAAATGCAATGACAAATTGCAACTGACAAGTCAGAAGGTTGTTCCAAACTGCCTGAACAAATTTGCGCAACCTGACAGCCGTCTGGCAATGCGACGTCGGCTCTCAGGCCTCCGGAGGCGGTGGCAGATCCTGGCCGTCACCGGGAGACGTGGCCTTTCCTGGTGGAGTTGCTTCAAGTGGATTCTGGCAATTCTCTGGTGTCGCGCTCCTGACAATGCAGCTGCACCCCAGCTCTTTGTCTTGAAGCATGACTTCATAGGCATAGATGGTGTGTGTGTGTGTGTGTTGGTGTGTGTGTGTGTGTTGGTGTGTGTTGGTGTGTGTTGGTGTGTGTTGGTGTGTGTCGGTGTGTGTGTGTGTGTTGTGTGTGTGTGTGTGTTGGTGTGTGTGTGTGTGTGTGTTGGTGTGTGTGTGTGTGTTGGTGTGTGTGTGTGTGTGTGTGTGTGTGTGTTGGTGTGTGTGTGTGTGTGTGTTGGTGTGGGTGTTGTGTTTGTGTGTTGTGTGTTGTGTGTTGTGTGGTGTGTGTGTGTTGTGTGTGTGTGTGTTGTGTGTGTTGTGTGTGTTGTGTGTGTTGTGTGTGTGTGTTGTGTGTGTTGTGTGTGCGCTGTGTGTGTTGTGTGTTGTGTGTGTGTGTTGTGTGTGTTGTGTGTGTTGTGTGTGTGTGTTGTGTGTTGTGTGTTGTGTGGTGTGTGTTGTGTGTTGTGTGTTGTGTGTTGTGTGTTGTGTGTTGTGTGTTGTGTGGTGTGTGGTGTGTGGTGTGTGGTGTGTGTGTGTGAGTGTGTGTGTGTGTGTCTGTCTGTGTGTGTGTGTGTGCGTGCGTGCGTGCGTGCGTGCGTGCGTGGGTGGGTGGGTGGGCGGGTGGGTGTGTGCCTGGGGCCTTGAACGACTGTTTCAAAGCAGGTGCGGGCCGAAAAACCACTTCTCAGGCAAACGACCGGAACCGGTTCGAAATCCCTAACCTACGGGGCCTTGACTTTGCCAGGCCTGTCTACTTTCCATTTTTCCCAGTTGGCTAAACCAGAAATGGCTGTGAGCATTCATGTGCACAATCTAGAGTCGAGAAGCCACTGCTAAGTACAGTTATGACACTTCAGATCAGAGCATAATGAATGTAGCTGCAAGCATGTGTTCTTCACAGCCTTTGCTCAGTGCGCCTGGCTTGTTTCACAGACCTCTCCCTTTTCCCATATGGAATCAAGCAGCAAAACAAGAAACGACGCAGAGGCAAATTTCTGTCCACTCATGGTGTTAGCCTTGGTTTAGAACCTTCCTCATTATAAGAAAGGGCACCCTAACAAAAGGCTTGCTTTTGGGTGGCCGGACTCCTCGTTGTTTTTCTTTGGGGGGGGGGGGGAACATTGGACTTTCGGGGGGCGGTTTTTCGGCTCGTTTTCGGCCCGTGTTCTTCCGTTTTCGGCTCGTTTTCGGCCCGTAAACCCGTTTTCGGGCCGAAACTGGCAATGGACAAAACCAGTAAACATCCAGAACCAGGCGTGCAACAACCAGAACCGTGTGTGCAACAACCAGAACCGTCCGTGCAAACGACTGTTTCTGAATTGATGGGTTTTCGGGTGCTTTTGGATGGGGCCATTGGGGCGACCACTCCTTTTTACCAGCAGAAGCCTCCTTTGTAAAGATTGGAAAGGGTTGTTTGGGAAACCACCTGAAAGACACCCATTGGGTGCGTGAGGGAAGAGTGATTTGACACACTGCCAAAGCCGCTCAACTATATTCTCGCCAGGGCTTTGGGGTGAAAAGCAATGTCCGTCGACCCCACATGCTGCTGATGCTGGCGGTACACCTATGTGGCTCTGCCCGCGGAACCGAAGGGTATTGAAAGTGTGCAACTCGCACAGCCCCCTTCTCCATGCCTTTCCCTTTTGCAAGAGGCTAGAAGAGAAAACAAAGGGATCAGTGCATTTCAGACTGCTGCGGCACGCTTGAGGCCTGACGGGTTGGCCGGGAAGGGTTGGTGCCAGTCTTGCAGAGACGCAAGTCAATCGAGGCTGAAAAAGATATGCCCTACACAAAATACAGAAAATGGTGATCAGGCCAAACGGCCGGAACTGCAGCAAACGACCGGAACTGATGATGGATGTTCTTAGGACTGTTTAAAAACGGATGTTTCGGGCTCCAGGTGTGTGTGTGTGGGTGGGTGGGTGGGTGGGTGCGTGCGTGCGTGCGTGCGTGCGTGCGTGCGTGCGTGCGTGCGTGCGTGCGTGCGTGCGTGGGTGGGTGGGTGGGTGGGTGGGTGGGTGCGTGCGCGCGTGCGTGCGTGCGTGCGCGCGTGCGGCGTAGATGCGTGCGTGCGTGCGTGCGCGCGTGCGTGCGTGCGTGGGTGGGTGGGTGGGTGGTGGGTGGGTGGGTGTGTGTGTGTGTGTGTGTGTGTGCGTGCGTGCGCGTGCGTGCGCGTGCGTGCGTGCGCGCGTGCGGCGTGCGTGCGTGCGTGCGGCGTGCGTGCGTGCGTGCGTGCGTGCGTGCGTGCGCGTGCGTGCGTGCGTGCGCGCGTGCGCGCGTGCGCGTGCGTGCGTGCGTGCGTGCGTGCGTTGCGTGCGTGCGTGCGTGCGTGTTGCGTGCGTGGTGGGTGTGTGTGTGTGTGTGTGTGTGTGTGTGTGTGTGTGTGTGTGTGTGTGTGTGTGTGTGTGTGTGTGTGTGTGTGTGTGTGTGTGTGTGTGTGTGTGTGTGTGTGTGTGTGTGTGTGTGTGTGTGTGTGTGTGTGTGTGTGTGTGTGTGTGTGTGTGTGTGTGTGTGTGTGTGTGTGTGTGTGTGTGTGTGTGTGTGTGTGTGTGTGTGTGTGTTTGTGTGTGTTTTGTGTGTGTGTGTGTGGGTGCGTGCGTGCGTGCGTGGGTGGGTGGGTGGGGTGGGTGGGTGGGTGGGTGTGTGTGTGTGTTTGTGCGACGTGCACCGGCCAATATTCAGAGCCATGTACTACAGTCAAGGGGATTCGAACGTGACTCCGGAGTCATACAACCAATTCCCCTGTCAGTCGGCACAATGAAATATTGCTCCAACCTTGCAAGCAGCTGCAGAGCATTGCCAAGCCACGTTTGTATCGATAGATGTCTCACAACTTTTTGATGCGCCTTCCCCAAACAGGCCATCGCTCCCTATTTGAGGTGGTAGCTTCGACCCATTTCTAAACTCTTGCACAGAATTAACAAGTCGTTGGCACATTCCTGAAACCAATTGCAAACAAGCATGACATTGCATAAGCGACAACGAAGCAACCAAACTTCGGCCCCTTGACTTGATTGGACTCCTGGATACTTCTTGCTAGGGGCTCAACTGGCGACGGGAGCCAAACCCGGACCAGTCGATGTTCTTCAACTCAACGTTGAGGCTTGCGTCAGTTCAAATCCGGCAGTTGTCTTGCACAACTGCCGCAACAGAATGGCGACAAACGCCAGTAGATTCTTGATGTAAGCGGGCCGTCTTGTGAATGAATGCACACAAGTTCGCTGTTTCGGTCAGCTTCCGAATTGGTCCGAGGGCTGAGGCCTCTTCCAAATGTAAACAGGTCCTTTGCTTGCCTCAAAGGCATGCCCTGTGCCAGGCAGAACCTGCAATCAACCGCATTGAGGCGACAAACAATTGGAGCCACAAGTCAGTTCGCAAAACATCCGAATTGTCAATCAAATCCAGTATACGGCGCAGATGTGAACACGTAACCTGACTTGAACGACACATGTATGGGATGGACAGCAGACAACATTCCCCTTCACAGCTACAGCAAGGTAGACACATACCCTGAAAACCAGACCGACCGCGCCCGGCCTCGACTTCCTCGAGCTCCATGCGCCAAACCACCACGTCCTCCAAAGGCGCCACGCAGGCTGCCCGCGCGCGATCCTCGCGGCATGTGGCAAAGGCTCGAGATGTCCACAAAACTCATTTAGCTCAAAAGGGAAAGTCCGAGAATCGTGCTGAGCTACTCGAAATCCCGAGTCAACAGTAAGAAGTATTTAGGAACGTTGGCATCTCTGTCTTTCTGGCTTTCGCAAGGAGCCAAAAGCAAAACTGATTTGAACCCCGGGCTGGTCCTCGGTTCCCCCGCAACAAGTTTTACTTTTGGGTATGGACATCGAGTGATGTCCCACTAAGAACCAGATGGCTGGACGAAGGGCTGACTCCCAACACCCGCCAAAGCCACCGGATGGCTGCCAAAACAAGGTGGGTTTTCACAGATCTTGTTTGGTTTTGGAAGCCATGGTTTTGTAACCCGATGGCTCCAAAACCTGCAAAACCACCAGGCTCCCATCGATTCCCACGATCCAAACGCGTCCGGACGGCTCCCGATGGAAAAGCGGCTCGAGGCCTCGAGGCCCAGGCAGGCAGCGAGGGCCACGGCGCGCTGGAAGCCTGGCACGGAAGATGCCGCGCGCGAGCGGTGGGTATGGACATATGCGTGTATACGTATATACGTATATATATATATATATGTATATGTGGTACATTTGCTCTTCTTTTTTTTTGGGGGGGGGGTAGCATATATGTCTATATGTTATACATGTATAATATATATATATATGTTCTAGAGAGAGAGAGAGAGGGAGAGATACACCTATTCATGTTACGAGACCATTTCAACTCCAAGGTTGTCAGAGGGAAACGACTCAGCTTGCGCTGAAGTCTTGGGTAAATCCGTGTCATATTTGGGAAAACCGTCGCTGATAGCGTTGCATGACATCGACTGACTGTGCGATTTACATTTACAACGTTCGAGAACCAACAGCTATGTTCGGATTGCTGACAAGCCTCGATCATGACGGAGGTTGCCACCTCGACTCTGCGGACAAGACGCATGCACATCTGAGGCCTTTCTTGATGATCTCAAGATTCATGTGAACCAAACAATTCCGCTGATTGCCTAGCGAACAAGTGCAGTTTTAGCGGACGATAACCACCTGCGCAGAATGCTTGCATTTGCGCCATCAACTGTTGCATTACAATGAGAAAAAAGACTCTAAGACTCTAGGCTCCCGCGCTATCAATATGTATGCAAGCACATTTTGGCTGATGGCACGAATCTCCAATAGACTTGAGCCAACCTGTTCTCTCCCCCGAGTCCTGTAAGGCCGTCCGCTGTGTCTGCCTGAGTGCACAGCAAGGCACGTCTCTGGCAGCCGATTTTGCTACCTCCACTACAAGGGCGCCAGTTTGTGCTCTCGTTCTTCCATATCCTGCCACAATAAGAGCAATACCTGAAATTCAACATGGCTTTGAGGAAGATTGCATCGAGTCTCTGGTTTTCTTTGCATCCAACCTCTTTCGGGGCTCTCTTTCAAGTGCATCGCTGACGCAGCCTCCTGGTCCCGTGAAAAAGGTAAGCCAAAAGGGAAGGCTGTGCAAACCGCAGTTCACAGCGAACTATGTTACTATCAGCTGGGTGACTTGATTTCAATACCAAGACAGCGGACTCTCACTAGCACTCCGGGCTCTCTTCACAAACTGATCAATCATGGATAAAACTAAAACTTTGCCAAGGAACTTGCCATTCTCCACTCGGTTCTGAGACAAAGACATGGAAGTTGAAAGGCGGAACCAAACCGATCCAGGCTGGCAACCCGAGCCATCCAACTTGAAAACCCACAGCGAAATGTTATACCTCGAACCTCTCACAAATCAAATTGGACAAATCGACATTGCTCTCCTTCGGCAGTACCAAAGTTGCGTTGGACTTCTCAAAACGGTTTGTATTGGCGCCCAGTTGAATCCATCTGCGCAATTCTCCCCACATAGTTGTGACGAAAGGCCGTTTGGAAAACGCTACTTGCAACTGTTGAGGGGCATTTCAGCTGAACAACTTGCGAATGCAGGTGTTCTGCTGCTCAATACAAAGAACATCATATCAGCGTCCGGGTTTAGCCTGAGTGCACTTTCCCCGTCCTGCGGCGTCTCAAACTTGTCCGAGAGGACTCTGGATCTTCGGGCGGGCGGAAAAATAGCACTGAACTGGAAACAAGCTATGGTGAATGCATTTGCTTTGGCGCTGCAGATTTCACTTGCAAGGGACCAAACAAACGCCTCTCAACACGTCTTGACATGCGATGTCCTTCTCTCGAACCTGCCCTCTGATCGGCCCAATAGTTAGGAAGCTGCTCACCCTCGTTTATTCCTTGCAATAACCTCAAATACCAATTTCATCCAAGTTGCCAGGGGTTCATGCCATTCTGCGAGGTATAACCGGGAGAATGCAATCAATTTGACTAGACGGTTGACTAGAAACAGGCCGCGGATCACTGCGCACATGTTGGGATTGGATGCGTGTTGTGTCAAGTGCCACAACATTCCCTTGCTTGCTTTCACACGCTGCGTGAGCACTGGTGATGGGAGACTTTCCATGTTTTCCTGCTGTCCCTTTAGGTGCCGAAGAATGTCACACGACGCCAAATGACGCCAGAGGATGCCAGAAAGACGAGACAAAGGATGCGCATGCGGGACCCACATACACACAGACAAATGCAACAAAAGCCAGCTTCACAAATCGTCTTCTGCAAATATAATCCTCCGAGTGGTGCAAGTCTCTGTGACAGAATTAATCTTCAGAGCCCGGCACAACCGAGTGCTTGCCTAGCCCCCAAATAGCCAAACAGCAAATCCTGTCCGCCAATGTGTCTAGAATGAAGTGACCAGACCCTCCCGCCTATACTCAGCAAGATCCCTCGCATATGCCCTGGCCAGTGAGAGGTCAGCGACCTCAGCGTGCGCATCAATTGACATGATACCAAAGGCTCTCAAGCACTGCTCACTCCAGCAAAGCAAAGCTTTGATTTTGAAAGGACACCCCGAACCCTTTCACTTGACCTGGAAAAGCCGATTGGGTTGGGGGTAGCTTTACAACCTTTGGTAGAGTAGCAACAACTGTTTTGCTTGTTACCGGCCCCTACTTCTCAAAAGTGCGCAGAACTGAAACAACAACTAGATCCCCCCAAACATGAACAGAACACGCAAAGATACGCAAAGCCTAAACACTTGCAACCGCGGCCCTTCCTGAGCCTCTGAGCCTCTGAGCCTGCGACCACAATGGGCGCCATGAGCCAGGCGATGGGCAAAGGCAAGCCTGGCCACATCTGGCCACTTTTGATCGCGTGGCCGTGGCTGTTCCAACCGCACTTCGCTGCTTCGGGCTGCCTTTTCCGAATTTCCTTGGGACCTTCGCCATGCCTTAGGCTAGCAGGCAGTCCACGCGCAGGTCGTCCACTGCACTTTTGCAGAGCTGGTCATTCTCCAACGCCTACAGCCAGTCAACGACTCATGGTTGTAGTGGCTGCTAGCTCCTCCAGTAGAGAGGTTAGCCCTCCCAATCTAGGTCGAACTCCGACTCACCAAAAAAGAAAGTGAGAAAGGGCACTCAAAGACCTCCGTGTCCCACCGCGTCTCCCTCCCGCCTGGCGCCGCCGCCCAGCGCCCGTGGCGCAGGGCCGCGAAGGCGCCCAGCGCCACCAGGCCGCCCGAGCTGGAGCTGAGGCCTGAGCTTCTTCAGGTTTCATGGTGCTTGGGGCCCTTGTGGTGCTTTTCGATCTTTTTCTTTGGAGTTTAGGGGCTCTCTGGGTTCCAAGCGTTTTTGGGGCTGGGTTGTAGATTTGGGGCTTGCTCTCAAGTTTCAAGGGTTCTTGGGCTTGGGCTGGGTGGAGTTGGGATAACCCCAGGCTGAAAGGGAAACTAGGTTTGCCATTGAAAGGTGACCATTTTCGGACACCATGAAAATGAACTGGTGAAGCTGGTGCCGAGACCTTTGGTGCTGAGATGGGACCTCCAAAGAGGTGGCTTTTTGTATTGTTTCCCTTTTCTTCTCCAGGACTTGTGAGCATAATTTCTCTTGGAGTCTGTGCGAGAACTTTAGCCCAGGGGATATGACATCTGGGCTGTCCTTAGATCCCCTGCTTAAAGTGACACTTTGTGGTTTCCGTCGGAACTACCACTAAACCCTAAAAAGCTAAAAACCTAAAGGGACGGCTGGGAACCACCAAGATATGGCCTCGCCAAAAGTCCATGAGGACATGGTGATGTTGCCCAATAGGCAGCTTTGCAAAATTCAAAGCTGAAGTGACAGATTGTCGTTGTGACAGTGCTTTTTGAGCGTAAACAAAGCACCCGTCTCTGCTGCTTTCATGGGATGTACTACCTGTGCACATGGATTGCTGCGCATGCGAGAAAAAAAAGGTTTTACTAAGAAGCAGCTTAAGAAGCACTTTGCTCTGTGCAGTCCCCGATCGGAACCAACAAAGCAAACAACTGAACACCAAAGCACACCAAGAAAAAAACGCCGGCGAGCGATTTGTTGCGCCTGCAGTGGAATCTGTGAGCTGGCTGTGGATGACGAGAGCCAATGCCTGCAGCGCTTGGGTTCTGCCAACTCATTTCGTGTGGAATCATGTTTGTTTGCAAGCTTAGGTCAGATCCATTGACAGAGGTCTCGAAATTGATGCAAAGGCAGTTTTAAAGGAGAAAAGCAAGGCTGGCACCAGCTTTGCCTTGCAAACGCATTGAAGGCTAAGCCCATGTACGACACATCAGCCTCTTCATTCCAATGAGGCTCCGAAATTGGTACTGGGATGGGCCACATCAACGACGCCTCGGTGGAAGCGCAGTCTTTGTGCGACATGCCGTGCCAGCAGGACAAGTATGGCAGCATCAATGCTCTACCGATACCCCAGTTGAGAACTTGCCCAAAATTATCTTCACAGGCCAAATCTTTTTCAGTCTGTGTCTTTTGCAACCTTCAATCAATTGGATGAACCCAACCCCAAACCCTGAACCTCGGAACCCCTTGTCAACCTTGCAACTTGTACCAAAAAAGCCCGGCCGCTCTCAGGCTTTGAGCGCTCAGGGTCCGGGCGTTGCTCAGGACTGTGCTGGAGCCGACCAGCAGCAGCAGGAAGCGAGCGCCGTAGAGACGCTCCACCCTACAGGGCCGAAGATGTCACCCGGATGCACATTCTGCAGAAACAATGTCACAATGTGCCACGTGGACCAAACGAGCTACGTAGCTTTAACGGCTCGGAAACAAACAAACAAACAAACAAACAAACAAACAAACAAACAAACAAACAGCTCCCACGCTTGTATTGTTGATTTTTGGGCCCGCCTGCACAACGTTCATGGAACTTGCACTAATTAGTTTTTTAGTTTAATCTTCAGAAGCTGTCAACTCACAATCTTCCACCAATCATCTTGGAAGAAAGAACTGCCTGCATCCAATTGCACCGTGGCCATGCAGTTCATTTGCGTTGCTCCAGTGTTGTTGCAGGGCGAGGCAAGTGGAACGGAAGAGAAGGAAAACACCCACCCCTTTCAACTAGGCAAACTTGAGAAGCACCAGCCAGCTTTGTCCAGTGGCTTCACTACATTGTCGCCACGTAAAAACCCACAAGTAAATTGGCTGGTTCATGTTGAGTCAGGAACGACTTAGAACAAGCAACAAGATGCAACAGCCTCACTCAATGAGCCATGTAGGCATTCTCAGAATGGTTCCCCCCCCCCCACAAAAACAAAAAACAAAGACAACAGAGAGGCTTTCGTTGCCTGTTGACAGCCAAAATCATGAAAACAGAGGTCCAACTCACGCGTGGTTTGGATGAACGTCGCCTTAGGAAAGGCCATTTGTTGCGTGATTCTTGGGGAAACTTGGATTTCCCCAAAGCCCATGATCTCTTCAAACATAGGACTCACTTTGGCGATTGGAAAGGAGATTCAACAATTCAAGGACACCACCTCCAACTCATTTTGAATGCCGTCATGGCTCGTTGGATTTTGCTTGGTGAGTTGGTGTGCTTTTTTTTGGAGGGTACCCTTTTTCAGGTTGGTTTAAAGGGAAACCAAAGGAACACCACCGTTGCGCCAATTTGGGTGGTCCCCTAAAAACCGCCACACTTCACCTTACCCTCAATTGGTGGTTTGGATTGGTATTTTGGGGAATTGACCCCCTGCCTGTTTTGAGGGGAAATGGCAAGCCCCTCAACCGCCAAACCCCTCAATTGGAGGGAAGTAGACCACTTGGCGTTCGATGGAAGGCGTTGCTGCGCGAGCGGCAGGGCGCCGCTGAGGAGCAGCAGCACGGCGTCGCTGAGCGACTTCGCCGGCTGCTCGCCCGCACGCACCAGCGAGCACAGCACCAGGCGGTGGAGTTCCCCGCACTGGCGGTGGGCCCGTGAACAAAAGGTCTGTCCTTTCCCTTTAAAACCAGGGAAAAAAGGGCTACCCTCGAGAAAGATGCACTCAAATAGGTCAACAACCAAAAGAAAAGGGATTTTGTGATTTCTGGGCCGTGGTTCTTTCCATCCGGTTTAGCCGAGCCGTTTGCGAGCCACGCCAATCGGTGGATTGGGAAGTCCAAACACAAGACCTACAAAGCCTGAAATGCGGGGCTCTTTTCCAAGTCCAAATGTAAGCTTGCACCGGCAAGAGTGGCTGCGTCAGCCAGCCGGAGTCGACCTGGAGCTTCTGAATTCGACCTCTCCTGACTCTTTGGATGCAAGTTATACCTTACATGTTGTTGCCCTTGGGCACGCCTCCAAACTCTGACACACAGCGACAATCCAAACCCTCCATTTGCTTAAGGCTCCTGGCAAAAACAAAAACCTATTTCCAATAGTGATAGATTCCCGCTTAAAACCAACGGGGGACAACAAGACATATTCATTTCAGCAAATGGAAGAAACAGCTTCGATCCTTACTCGGCGACTCGGCCTGCAGCTGCTGCCAGCTGACCCCAGACTTCTCCAGCAGCGCCCAAAAGCTCTGCAGCCGCTCGCGCAGGTCTTCCACGGAGTCGGCGCCCAAGACCTCGCATATATTTAGCCACACCCAAAGGACAATCAAAGGTTCACCTTTCGAGGTGGCTCGAAATGAACCAAAGGAACAGCAAAACGTGAAGAGGGGACAATTCGCTTTGGGCAGGATGGGATAAGCCAATTGCGATGGAAATTCCTGGGACCTCTCGAACCGAGCAACGATGCAACGACCTGGTCTCACGACCCTCACGACCGGCGCCTGGCGCCAGGCGGCGCTGATGGCGCAGGTGGCCGCTGCCGAGACCGCCAGCAGCGCCAAAGTGGCCGTGGGCCAGGCGCGGCTCTCGGGGTAGGCGAAGAGCTGCAGATCCAACGCGCCCGCGATGTCCTGATCGTGACCGGCTTTGTCGGGGAACGGAAGCCAGAAATGAAAGTAACATTTTTAGGGGGAAAATGGGACGCCAGAAATTTGAGGGCCCGTCTTTCTTCGGAAGACCGGGACCCGAGTTTCGGCGGAGTTTGGTGTGACACAAGATCCCTTTTGGTTTCCCGTGGCCTGGGAAAAAGATGCACAATTCAAAGTCTATCCCGCTGGAGTGTAAAGGTGAAAAGGCCATCCCATAGGTTCCAAACACATGACCGTTGTTACAAAGCACTATCCCCTTCAGTCGCATCACCTGAACAGAGTCTCGGAGCAAATGCGACTGGAGGCTGCTGACCCTATACAGGACTCACAGTCATGCAGCCCGCATAGGGCGGGCATGGGCGCCGCGGTCCTCTCGCTCCGGTGGAGCTTTCTTCTCGGGAGGGCGGTCCTGTCCGTTTCTTGCCGGGCGACTGAAACGCGGCGCGGAGAAGAAAATCAGAAGTTCCAGGACCATTCGTTTAAACAAATGGACGGGCGGCATCGAAGGCGCACACGCACTTGCTAGACATTCAAAACTGATTGGTGCCGACCCCAGTTCCTTTCTACGGATAGAATTCGCCCATCGCCAGCCGGGGTATAACATGTACATCAGCAGAACAGGACTTCCACATCCACGGCTGGGTCCTATTTTCAAGGCGGCGTCTCTCAACTTGCAAGGTCGACGGAATTCTTGCCTGCTTGCCGACCTGCACCATTCACTGCAAGCTGTTCTCGCATTCACACATCTTCCATGCGCCTAGCATTTCCGCACAACCCCGAAGTCACCCTCTGTGTGACTCACTCGCGGCCAGGTGAAGCTTTGCCGGACCCAACTTGGCAAGGAGAAACAAGGCAAATCCTGTCCGAACGTCCGACACGAAGCCTCAAGGCAGCAAGCTTCAACTTTGAGAGGTGGATTTTCAATGATTCCTTGTGTGTCGTTTCATGACCTCCTCATCATCGTCACCGTCGTCATCGTCATCGTCGTCATCAGCATCGTCGTTTTCATTGTTTTCATCCATACTTTCATCTTTTCCATCATTTTCATCATCCTTTTCAGCATCAATCATCATGTTCTTTCTCTTCCGGGCTCTTCGCGTAGTCTTCTCAGAGTTCCACGCCTCCGGCGCCGGCTTCGGCGCTCGGCTGCGCTTCTCCAGCTCCTCGATTTCCCGAATTTCAGAAGCAGGGTCCCCCAACTCGCGGGGAAAAAAGGGTCTCAAATGAAACTCGCATTGAAAGGGCAGTTTAAGGGGAAATTCAACACCATTTGAGGGAAATACGTGAGGTCTATCTTTCAATTGGAGCACCCCTGCGTTTTGATTTGACGGCTTACCCTGTGAAGACCTGAGACTTGAACACGCATGCCGACATTTGTTCTTTTCTTTCAAACTCTGGAGATCCGAAATCTCTGGGAGCTGGCAAAGAAAGGGCTGTGTTCACACAGTGTCGTAGCATGTCAAACGCCTTCAGCTGCGTACGTGCGACACAACCAGCCTATTCTGCAGAAATCTGCAGACGATAGCAACGTGGAAACGGCGCTCGCAGCGCTTGCTTGTGCTTAGCTGGACGGTCGGCGTGTGCGGCGCGCTCCTGCTCCTCCACTCCGGCAAGGTTGGGCGCCTGTGAAGGCCTGAGTCCGTGAGATGCAGTGCGAGGGTTTCTCCGTCCAGTGAGCTGAGCATCGCGCTCTTGGCCTTCAAGTACCTCCTGGATTCCTCTGGCAGTCTCAGCATCAGCGGCCCCAGCGGGCTGACCGTTCCACAAAGCGCGCCAGGGCCGCGCTGATCGGCCAATGGCCGAGCACCGCGCTTCAGGTTGAGCATAGTGAGGCCCACGTTGCCCAGATTGACAGGTGTCTGGCGCTCGAACCGAAGTTGAACCTCCAAGAGGTCATGCAAGTCATTGCCTTGAGCGACGCCAAGAGTTGAGTCCGACAACTTCGCCGCAACCAGCCGCTGCAGGCATTGTGTTTCACTTGTTAATCTCAGGGCACTGTCGAGGAGCAAGTCACCGTCGCGTAATCCCTTGATGACGCGTCTGGAGCCAGAGACCAGTGGAGCTGTGTCCTGCATGGACTACCCACGGTATGAACATACTGAAGACGAATTCTGCGAGAAGAGGCATGATGACGAGCAAGCCATCATCTCCTCCGGCAACAAAGCACCTCCTCGCAAGCAGCGCCACTGCTCCAGGAACCACAGTCCAACTGTCCTTCCCGCGAACGCGCAAGGCTGTGCCCACTGAGCTCCGCGTTGGTGATAGCAGAGCCCATGGCAATTCCAGTCACAAAAACTCCGAGCAACAAAATTAGTGTCCAATCAAACTGCCGCCCGATTTTGAAAGCCAACGCCAAGCTAAAAATAGCATCTCCGCTCCTCGTCAGAGCTGCACACCATTGACAATTCTTTATGAAAGCTTTGCTGAGCCTTGCTTTCATCGCACCCTGCTCCTCGGCTTCACCCTTCACACAGATGCTGAACCACTGCTGCTCAACATAGTGCGGGAAGAGCGACATGCCATAGGCCAAGACCACAGAGATAACTACGTTAACTGGCAGTGCAAGTGTTTCCGGACCCATGGCGATCTCGTTTTAGACGTCATTCGCGCCAAGCCTTCAGGGCTCCAACTCAAACGGAGTGGGCGTTGGCAATATCATTGATGGTTTAGTCATGGGGTGAACATCCCAAATTCCAAGCATTGGACTTGTCTCGAATTCCAAGCGCTGGGGTCAAGGGATTTGTGCCTGGATCCAAATCCAAGATCCAGTATGCCCAATGAACTGTCGCTGAGAATCTTTGACCAAGTTTGCCAAGTGGTCACATCTAACACCAGAGATGCGGAATGAAGCGAAGCAGATCTCAGATCCACCCATTAATCAGCCACAAGATCGACTCCGAAAAAGCGATTTGGAAAGCTTCGCTTGACACGGACGCTAGAGACTTCCATTTCGCCTTTGGAGCCTTAGTGCTTGCCGGCGAGTCTGAAACATCACTGGGCAGGAACTTTGAGGCTATCCCCGGAAGATGACGGCATCTGCCCGCCAAAAGCTGAGTCAATCGTTCCAGCTAGCTGCCAAACACCTGGTATGCGTCAACATAATATCCACCTCCTTAGGGTTCAACCGGAAAATACGGAAACTACTTGGGAACGTGTGACACCTTGCCCTCAGCCGTTCTCCTCATTCCACCACTGGGTGCTGCTGAAGCCTCAGTAGGATGGAGCCCAGCCACGGCCAGAAAGAAGGGACACTGCGCCTTTTAGGTACGAACACTTCAACGCAAAGCCAAGGGAATGCAAAACAAAGGAAAAGAAAATACGGGCGATGGGCAACTGTGCTTTGTTAGGAGACTTCTGCACAAAGAAACATGTGCAAACCCCTAATCCCACTAATGCAGTGCATGAAGATACACCTGGAGGCACACTTCCCGCAACTCAATCTCTCGGCCAGAACAACAAACAAGTCATGTGGGCGAGTCATAAGCTAAAGTGAATACCTTTAGCATGGATGACTTCGGCCGAGCTGACAGGCCAGGTGCGGGCGACAAAGCTCGTTTGCACTCGTTTGGCGACCAGGTTCCAATGGTAAGGACTTGACCGTCCCTCAATCTCACAATTCCCTGCCCCTGAAGTGGACTGCGTGAAAGCTTTGTAACTCTGCTAGCCGCAAGACTCCAAATTAACTGAACAAAGGTGCGTTCTACATCTGCCCTTGAAACACTTGTATTTCTTCCGGCTTGAAATCCTCTGACAATGCAGGTCCCCTGTTTGCGCGCACCTGCGCAACTCTTGTCTTTCAACACGTCCTTAATTCCTGTGCAAACACAGACTGTGTGCGTCAAGGCGTCAAGCAAACGGCTTGCCTACAACACCCAGTAAAACGGCCAGGAAAGTTGGCGGAATAACAGGGGTACAGCCAACGACAGCCGTTGGCGAATAGTTATTGAGGGGCAAACACCTGTTTCACCAACAAACATTGAACTCGGGATGCTAACAAGAGGTGCACAGGCTCTTGTGTTTGGGTGGAAAAGGGATGTTGTTGCCCTCAACGTTAACTTGAATTCCCCCTTCGAAAGTTGCAATTTCTGGTGGTTGCTAGTCAAACTGCAGCTTTTGGTAACAAGTGGGACTGTCTGGGTAACAAGCTCGAGGGTTAACATCATGGTTTCAGACTCCAAGTATGCGCTTTGCTAGGTTTCCGGGCCGCGGGACATTGCCAGCCTGACGATCTTCTTCGCTGATTGGCAAAGCGACTGAAACAGGGCGCCGCAGCCCTCCTTGTTTGGAGTCGAAACCAGTCTGCCAAACGGATATGTTGGGTAGACATTGGAAGGCCTGAAGATTGTGGGGAATCCAATTTCGCATGGTTGAACGGGAACATCGCACAGAAACCAACTAGGAGCCTCTTTGAGCCAACATTACTTGCTTCCCGGCGAGTTCCCTGGTTTTTGTGGAAAAAAAACAGCTCATCCCTCACCCCTTTCAACTGGATCATAGACTGAACATTTGACCGAATCTGTGGCGGTATATCAAGCAAATGTCCGCTCGTGCAGGTGCAAATCGAAATAATATGTGCTGAATCATACAATACACATGAGACATATGCATTGTGCGTTCTACAAAATACACATTCTAATGAATCGGATCTGGCTCGTGCCCCCGTTTCAGTTTTTCCGAAGCAAGGAATCTGCGCACAATAGAATACCTCCCCAACCTGAAATCGGAGCCCTGGCGACGCCCTTCCTTTGCCAGAGGAATCGCACGCTGGAGCTATACTGCAGCTTGTATTGACACCCCCAGAACCCAGCTTGCTCACGATGGGACTTGGTCGGGACAATCGGAGCAGCTAACGCTTCCTCATAGGCCAGTGTACTGCCCCCGGAAGGAGCAAGCACCGGCTCAAAGGCGAAAAGCAAGAAGAAACAACTAGACCTCCATTTGCTTCAGTCCCCTGGAAAAAATACATCCAGTAGTGATAGATTCTCTTTTAAAACCACCAGGGGAAAATAATACATACTCTTAACCAAATGGAAGTAAACCAACAATTGAAAACCTATCTGTTGCCACTCCAACGTCTGGCGCCAACCGGTTGAGACGTATCTCTAAGTTCGTCATTCGTGTCAGTATTTCCATCCAAGCAACTCCCGGTGTTCCCAGCTCGCGTTCATCTGTTGTCACTCCAACGTCTAGCGCCAAAGGAACAAAGAAGCTCAAAAAGAGGGCAAACAGGTCGAGAGGCCTTTGACAAAAGGCCAACAGTTTGTGGTGCTCCTCCTCTTGCTCCAGGCAGTCTTGTCACAGGTACACCAAGCGTCTGCCATGCTGAGGTAAGCTGCCACTGAATTCTGAATGCTCCTATATAGGTACCGTCTGAGCCGGCGTAGATTCATTTGCAGCTCAGCCATGATCAAAAGCTGGTATCAAAGGGACCAAAAGCCAAATGAATCAAAGGCCAGTTGGGGACAGCGAAGCTGCATGGCGCTGTGCCGACTTCACCACTTCCAGCCTGCCGGCCTGCCTCCATCGCGCCAGGCTCATGACCGGACGCTGTCCGTCGGTCAATCCGGTCTCCGTGCACTCACATGGCTTGAGCTGTAGCTCTGGGCGTGCTGCGCGCTTGCATGTTTTGAGTAACGATTGGAGATCTGGAGCTGAGAGATATCAGGCTCTAGATCGTTTGTTTGGCTGGTGTGCTCCTTGCAAGTGCTCCTTGCAAGTGCTCCTTGAGAGGGCTCCTTGAGATCCTTGATGATTGCTTAAGCAAAGGATCTGGTCTTTGGGGTGCAGCGCATCACTCCCTCCCTCTGTCTGAAGTGCAGCACTGGAGCCCTGAATCAGAATCTGCCGACGGCAAAAGAAACACTACAAACACACCTTTGAACATCAATAACCCACACACCATGCAAACCAGTCAGTCGCTTTGCAGTCTGTGGAAAGCTAAGTTCTAGGCAAACATTCCAAAGCCAAGCTCGACTTTGCGACGATCACGTCCTCTTGCCACGAGCCATCTTCAACACCTGCATCTCGGTCTATCCTCGATGCAGCATCGCTAAATAGCTGATCAGCAAGCGTCCTGAGCCAAGTGCCTCTTCCTGATCTGATTGGCATCACCCAACCCGCATGCATCACAGGTCCGCTTAAAGCTCTAGCGCATTTGTTAGTAGCCACACAGTGCACCTAAACTGCCCTGTCTTGGCATAGGGACATCAACTCATGCCTCAAGGGCATGAACACATCCAGATCGCAGCTTGACCAAATGTCACAAGGAATGAGTTGACTGACCTTGTGTGGGCAACAAATCTGCAGTTGGTGGTTTGTCCAGGGTTCCACTCAAACAAAAGTCACCTACCCCCCCCCCCCCACCGGCAATCCCTGTGACCCTCGCGAGGCGCTTTTTTTTCTCTTTAAGCCACGTGCACGCCGATGAGGACGTGGCTCCAGTACTCGTCCATGGTGGACGAGGCGATTGCCGAATCCCTCAGGTGCGATCGATAGGGAATGACGAGTCCGGGTGGGGTACCTGGGCTGCCCGTTTTCAGATCCCCCGCGAAAAGTGAATAACTTTTAGTGGGTTAAACGGAAACTACCACGGAACACTAAAAAACGAAAAGGCTAAGGAACCGGATGGCTGGGAGCCACCAAGATACAGTACGGGATGGTTTATAGGGGTCCTTCCGCTTCTCATTCCCTTCTGAGACCCCTCGAACAAGGTGAGCCCATTTTAGGACGCTTGGCACATCAAGCAAGTGACAAAGCAAGGCACCAAGCAAGTTCCCATTCCAGTTTGTCAGCCATGGGCTTTGCTGCAGATTTGGCTCGGATTTCAGCTTGCCGTGGGGACATGCAATATGTTCACTCCCAAACACCTTGTAAGGTCTGTGAAAGTCACATGAAACCTCCAACGACCCTCTGGCGCTCTTAAACCAAGGACTTTCACTGAATGGGGTTCTGCATATTGCAGGCCCGGCGCTCATCCGCACTGGTGGAGTAGTGGATGATGCTCCCGACCCGAGAGGCTTTCTCCAAGGCGCCTCGACAGAACTCGATCCACGACTCGTGTGCTTCATTTTTCCCCGTCGCCAGGTGAGTCATAGTCAAGAATCGGCAAGATGGCCTACTCAGAACCATGTAAAGAAAAGGCGGACATCCGCACCCATGTATGGCTCGGATTGTCCCATGCTACCCTCCAAGTATCCGGATGTTGATTCTGACTCAGGTTTGTCGAACACCGCGAGGTCTGGCGCTCCTTTTGCTGCGCTTCCGTGGTCACTCCGGCTCCATTTCCATTGGATCTATGAGCTCGCTTGTCCTTTTGAAGAAATGGAGGTGCCATAGTGTGCTTGTTCGGCCTCAGAAAACACGCCAAGATGCGCACCATGGTTCAAGCTTGGGAAGGGCATGTCAGCTGCCTTACACTTGCAAGCCATGAGCTGAAGAGCCTTGGTGCTTTTTAGATAGAAACTGAATTGGATAAGAACCCAACCGGTGTCACGGAAACTTTCAAGCGCGCCCTTCAGAGACCCCCCCAAACCTTGACCCCACTCGTTACCTTCTGCGCTTCGCCTTGTACATGCTCTAGAGCCCAGTACTCCGTCGACAGCGGCAGCAGAAAGGAGACCACCAGGTACCCGTTGCGGGAAGTCACCATGGCCTCCAATGCATCAGGTTTTACATTATTGCATTGATCAAGATTCTAGCTCTCCCTTAGTAGCTTCCTGGGACAATCAACAACTTCAGGCTATAGCACTCGGATTCGTGCACTTCTGCTCTCTAGGATCCCCCCCCCCCAACTATGTAGGTTGCCTAAACTTGGGGACCGCCTCTGTGTGAATGGCTCGAGAGGGAAACACCTCCAAGCCCGCGGGCCATGTCACGAGGGGTGCGACCTATGGGATCGAACCGATGGATCTTCTCGCTCCGGAAGGGAAGCAACTCGCTTCGAATTCATCCAGGCATTTGAGGTATGTGCAGGCAACATGACTGCAGCAGAAAAAAAACGGGTAAAAAAAGCTCAGGTGACATCCCCAACAGCATGCAGTGCTCTTTTAGTGCTCGCACCACCCCGCAGCCCTCGCAGAACCTCGTGGAACCTTCAGCTGTTGGGGAAAAAAAACACATGCGTCTACATGGCGTGAAGATAATTCGTAGCAACCCCTCTTGCTCAGTGAGCAACGCTGCCCGGTGACCCTGAGAAGAACCCTGGGGTTGCCCTTTTGGAGTTGAGCGTTTGGGGGAGTGCCACTGAACAACTGACGCCCTGAAGTCCTTTCGGGTTGCTCCCCATGAACCCGGTCTGCCAAGCTGCCGCGAGGCTGATGGCCTTCTCTACCCCCTTGAGGCTGGGCTTGTACCATCGCCCGAATTGGCCCCGCTGGTGCTTCAGGTACCGCTCAAAGCCTTGGGAAGATCTCCGAGCCCAAGTCAAACTCTCCCCTTAGACTTGGGCAATGTGTCCTGGAGACCCTTCTAGATTGAGGCACGGGAACCGGAAGCGATTAAACACCATCACAAAAGCGGGCTGCCCTCAGATCCCCTGCTCAAAGTCTACCAACCACTAAGCCAACTAAAAACAACTAAAAAGCTAAGGAACCGGATGGCCGGGAACCGAGTTTCAGGTCAAAGCAAAACACTCTCTCCAGAAATCAGCCTGGTAGGTTCGCCACCAAGGGACCCCCGGAAAGCACGGATTCTCCAAGTTCCGTCTTACAAGTCGGTCCAATCTGAGACTCGCCCCGCAGGCAAGCACTGATTCAAGCTGCACATCAAACAATATCTGCCCCTCTTGAATCAAAACAAAAATTGCACCATGGCTCCAGCCTTCCAGCCAAGTCGTTGTAAAGATCCAAGTCCCAAACTCACCATGCAATCTCACCGAGCGGCACGCCCGAAATATTCTTGGCTTTTCGGCTTCTTGGGTCGCGTGGAAACACTCACCAAACCCAGGAGCAGAACCCCATCCTCAATTGAGCACACCAGCAAAAGCGCGGTACTAGACCCAAAAAGTCCAAGCGGAAGTCTGCAGCCATTTGTGGCTAGGGTTGCCCCTGACCTTCCACCGCGGAATCGGTGCGGACGTGGCTCACCTGCGTCACCCTGTCACCCAAGGACCCCGACGGACCCGGAGGTTCAAGTTCACGCAGTTGAAGCGAATGCCGCTCTCTGCCTCAGCTGTGCACATCACTTTTCGGTCGACGCGCGATGAGATGAAACAAACTTTGACATGCTAAGTAAGGTTCGTCAGCTTTGCGGGATGATGCAGAGTTTCTTTCAGTGGCCAGTCATTCGTTCTTGCAAACACGTGCCAAGCACACTTACCCAATGCAAACGCAAACAAAAACACCTTAACCGAAGTCAATTTGCTGACTTCGACTGTCCAAGCCGGCAAAGTTGGCAGATTGCACCTTTGCTGCGCTTTGTAAAGCAGCAACTGCCCCGTACATGCGCTCCAGCCGGGGCTGCAAATTTGTGTAGTGCTAGAATTGGAGAAACACATGCAACACACAGTTGTCCCTCTCGTAGTTCCCCTGGTAAAACAATCAAAACACCCTGCCAGGAAAGATGCCCAACACATTCAGGTTGCGCAACCATTTCCTAGCATTTTCCACTTTTCTAGGTCTACCAAATGAACAACCTAGGCTTTGGGAGGGGTAGGTAGGGGGTTTATCGAGGGTACCGCACTTCCCGTCGAGCCCGACCGCTCGAAGAACCCGGGCCGAGGTGCCATGTTCCGAAGCTCCGCCGTGACGTCGGAGCGGTGGAGCACGGTGCACCGATCTGCCACACCTCAAAACCCAGACATACTGGGAAACTCACCAATCGAGTGGATTGGCCAAAACAAGTTACCAAACGTTTGCTATTTTTTTATTTTATTTTTCCGATTTGCCACTGAACTGAATTTCCTACGTTCAAAGTCAAGGACCTCTGGGAGAGAGGGCTTAGGACTGAAATGCTTCGTCCTTGAACATCACGCACCTGGCCTGACTCCATGTTGAAAGCCATCAGAGACACAGACACGCAGAGAGACAGAGACACAGAGACATGGACACACAGAGACACAAAAACACAGAGCCACAGAGACACAGAGACACAGAGACACAGAGACACAGAGACACAGAGACACAGAGACACAGAGACACAGAGACACAGAGACACAGAGACACAGAGACACAGAGACACAGAGACACAGAGACACAGAGACACAGAGACACAGAGACACAGAGACACAGAGACACAGAGACACAGAGACACAGAGACACAGAGACACAGAGACACAGAGACACAGAGACACAGAGACACAGAGACACAGAGACACAGAGACACAGAGACACCGAGACACCGAGACACCGAGACACAGAGACACAGAGACACAGAGACACAGAGACACAGAGACACAGAGACACAGAGACACAGAGACACAGAGACACAGAGACACAGAGACACAGAGACACAAGACACAGAGACACAGAGACACAGAGACACAGAGACACAGAGACACAGAGACACAGAGACACAGAGACACAGAGACACAGAGGCACAGAGACACAGAGACACAGAGACACAGAGACACAGAGACACAGAGACACAGAGACACAGAGACACAGAGCCACAGA